AGATGTTAAGACTCGCTAACGCCATCGATAGCCAGACATCCATCCACATTGGTGCTCCCCCAAGAAATAAGAATAAGAAGAGAAGCACAAATATTTATGTGCTTTTGCATTTAAACAGATTCCTAGGAATCAAAGGCTCTAAGGGTGGCCTTATGAGACGGAGCAATCCACACAGCTTTCTCCCAGAGAACGTAGGAGAAAAGAAACAACTTGCAGACGCCCTCATTGTGTCAGTCCCACAGAAACTACCAAGAGGTATTTGAGCCACCTTCATGACTCCTCTAGTTTGCACAGATCTAAGGGAAAGAGCCCAGGTCCAGGAAACACAGTAGGAGGGTCCCCCTTGTAGCCCTTCCATTTATGGATGGCGATACCTTCTACAAGTCAGTCAGTTTCTTGGGCCCCAGTCTTCCCATTTATCTACTGGGATTAAGAATGTCCTGCCTGCATTTCCCAAGGTTCAGATGATATTGCTGGCAAATGTGAGTGATCACTATTGCCCCTTCCCTTCCTATCTGGGATCAAAAGGTCCAAGTCATCTGCTCTCTCCCCAAACAGATTTCTTAACACATAAAGTGTGCAACAAAACGGAAAGATCCAGTTTCCATAGTTGGCTTTATTTTAAAAGACAAAGAAGAGCTGCTCAAACTCTGATATTTTGGGAGGCAGGACAGAGCTGACTCTCAGAAAGGAAGCGCTGTCATTACCTGCTGAAGAGTAAACGTCGTCCGGTTCCGGCGCTGTTTTCTGCGCAGAAACCCATCATCGAAATCTCCTGGAGAGTGGTTGCCAAAGGGTGCAGTGCCTACTGGGAGTAAACTCAGTCAGCCTGATCAGAGGGCCTCCCTGGCCTCACACTGACCCTGGACACACACGTTTGTTGGGAAGCATCTCCAGGGAGAGTCCTGTCTCTCCCAGAGCATTTTCCTCTGCTGTAGTCCTGGGAGCCCCTCCTTTTCCACTCTCTCATGCTCTCTCTCCTCCAGTAACCTTTGACTTTAGGCCCAACTATGCTTATTTTGTTGGGCAGGTGGCAACCTTCTCCCCTAAGAAGGCCAAATCTGCTTCTTGTGAAATTCTGGGCTCTGGGCCAGGAAACATCACTGGCTTGGGGCAGTGCGTTCCCCTGTCCTTTGACTTCCAGCTGCACCTGCGTCCAGTGTGCCTTGATCCCATCCCCTGTCCCGGATTCTTTCATAGAAACCTTCACGTCTCCTGTTTGCTCACCTGTTCGTTTGCTTTCCCTTGTTTCTATAAACAACAAAGCTGGATGGCTGGGGGAGGGGAGAAAAGAAAATGCCAAGAGCTTTCACTGTACATTTCTCCTAGAACTTCAGGACACAAGGAGGTAAGAAGTTTATAAATGAATATTAATTACTGTTGGTCACAGCTCATCAGCACCATAGTGGATCTGTTATATAGATGTCAATTAACAAGAGGTCTGCACCAAGAAGCTAGTGTCCTGAATTCCAAGCAGACTTAGGCAGGGCCACTCTCAAAAGGCACCCCCCACTCTCTGGCCAGGCTCATAAAAGATCCATTGCTCTCGATTCCCTGAAAAGAAAGGCATCCTTTCCACCGTCCTCCCCAGCAGCCTCCAAACCTCCTATAAAGCCAGAACAGAGTTTGGCCCCAAATGTGCATTCAGGTCGTTTTCCGAATATGCACCATTTACTCAATAGTGTGCAATGGCTTCTGAGAAAAACAAATGAGCAAGTTCCCATTAACCAGTGAATGCTGTACCTGCCATGCGCTCTGGTCTCAGAAGGACTATAGGTTCGGCATTAGGACCTGGCAAGCCACACAGGCAAACTCCCTCAGAAAGACCTCAGTCCCAAAGAAGCAGAGTCCTCTGGGCTTTTAAAAATTCTGTCTACTAAGGGGGTCCCTCCTGCTTATTATTCTGCTCTCCACTGCCCCATCTTTTGCCACAATATCCCAGTCTCTCCTGAAGCCTTTCCCTCCAGCTTCTTGTCCAAATTGCACTCTTCTTCAAAACCCTAGTTACAAAGATTTCTCTCCAGCTGTTGGCAGCTTCAAAGGGATAGCCTCAAAGCAGCCTTATTTCCATTATTTTGCAGGAAACCAAACTGTCTCCCTTTGATTGGTGAGGATGGAATGCAGACTCTGAGATGCTCCAAACATTCTATCTGCCTCAGCCTTCTAACTTACATCTGCTGGTCCGAAATTTTTCTACAATGTGTGGATATAATATCTGTAATTGAAACACTGTGAGCCAAACTGAATCCTAAAAAAGGCTGATGGGCCATCAAATTAATAAGAACAAACAGAAAAGAGAAAAAAAAAAAAACACGAGAAGAGGCTTTTTACTTAAAAATAAGTAGAAAATTTAAAAAAAAATTAAAAAATAAGTAGAAATGTTGATAGTATGAAAATGTTAAACCCTGCCAATAATTAAACAGAACACAACAATGAACTATTATTTTCAACATTTTAACCAAAAAATAAATAAATAAATAAGGTACATAATGATACCTAATACAGTTAAGAGTGTAAGAAAATGTGTGTGTCCATTAACCTTTTGTAGGCACATTAATGGGTGCGGCCTTATTAGAGGGTGATTTGACAATATTCATCAAAGATTTAAGTGCACATATACATATTTAATCTATGAAGTAGATAAAGTGTGCCGAAATAGAAAAAAAAGAACATTCCTGGCAACATGATAAGAAGAAGAAAAAACTGGAAACAGCCGTAGTTCCCACCAGTACAACATATAATGGAATATTACACAACTGTTTAAAAGAAATCAGTATATCTGTGTATATATATACATATATATAGATATGGAATAATTTTCAAAACCTATGTTACAAGGTAAAAAAAGCAAAGTCCTAAAGGACATGGCAGTATGATCTCAGCAGAAAAAAATGCATAATATATAGAAAGAAAAAGTGTGTTTTTCTTGAAGGAATCACAAGAGACCAACAATAGTGAGTATCTTTAGAAAAAAAGGGGAAAGGAAGGAGGATTTCACTTTTCAATGTGTCGGTCTCTGTTCTATTTGAATTTCCTAAGCAGGTATAGGTAGTACTTTTTAATTCAATATTAGTACAATTATCTGAGAAGTGAGATGATGAACCATGCTTTGCTTTCTTCTTTATGTCTCTCTAGATTAATAACAAATAAAAATTAAAAAGCTCCTGGGCTGAGGGAGATGTCATATTCCAAAGGGCTGTTCTCAGCCTTTCCATGTGCAGCAGACCACCTCCTCCTCAGCACCACTAAACTGATACAAAAAAACAACAACAAAAAAACCCTTTCTGCAAAACTAGCTCAGAAACACATTTGCAGAGGGATAAAAAGGTTCTTAAAGATCCATCTCCTTTTCTTCTGGTCCTAGCGCTCAGAATCTGCACTGAGGGGTGAACGTGCCTGGGGCGTGGGAAGGAAAGGTGGGCAGCCAACAGCTCAGTGCCCTGGGACCATTATTAGCCAAGCCAGGACTCATCCTAAGTGACTTCTACAAACCCACCCTGCAGACAGGCTTTTCCCCTAAGTTATCTAAGCAGCCCACCGCCTACTAAATACTCACATCTTGGCCTCGCCCCAGCCCTTTAACTTAAAGAGTGGGCTATGTCGTACCCATCAGTCCAAACCCCAGGTTCAGAAGCACAGAGATGGTGTGTCCTCCACACATGCAAAGGTCCCTCTGGGCCTGGGGTGTTCTCAGGACATGTGCCTCATAAAACGGGGCAGCACGGGTCCTTGGAGATTAAAGGAGGTAAAGTGCAGGCAAATATCTGGTCTTGCCTTCTTCGGAGTGCTGACTGAGCTAGTAGGGCTTAAACACGGATCCTTAGCCTCCTTTAGAAAATTCTACTGAACTCTTAAAAGCTTCCATGGTTAAGACAAAAACAAACTTCCTGAGATCCCTGGGCATGCTGGCCAGCCGAGGCTCAGCGACTACTCCTGGTAAATGGAGACAACGTAGACAGTGCTTCACCGCCTTTGCCCCCCACATGCCTCCCTCAATTTCCTGGTCTCCCAAATTCTCCCACCCCACAAATAAATCAAAGGAGTAGGTTATCAAAGCTGAGTCCTGGTATGGCTCCCAGGTATAAAAGTTCTAATATCCCACTGCTGAGATGCCTGCTCTGAGGAAGATGCTACTAAAAGTCCAGAAGGTGTGGTTTTGCATTTGTCTGATGCCCATGCAGGGGGTCCCTCCAGGTCCTGGGGTGGGGTGCACCAGAGAGACAAGCTGTCCCCTTCTCACAAACCTACTCCCACCTAACAATCCAGTGCCAACACCACATGAGGGATCTTGAGGCAAAAATGCCTTCTAAGGCCTGGGGACCCTCAAAGTATCAAACCCTGGCCATGGGGCTTCCCCTGGGATTGGGGAGTGGTTGGCCACTGGGCTCAAGAAACCCAGTGAATCACAGGGGAGGAGCCAGGCCAGGGCACTTGGGGTGGTGGTGGGCAGGGCCACCTAGTTCCAGAGGGCAGTGGTGGCCCAGAACAGATGTTAAAGCTTTCCTGAGCAGGACAGCTCCGTCCTCCAAACCAGAGCAGCCTAGCCATGGGTCCTTCATAGTTCATGGTCGGTGACAGGACGATGAGGCCCAACTCCCTAGTCCAGCTTGGCTTTTCGGGATGTTTGCAAAACACCGTGAAAGATTGATGCGGCCCCCAGGGCGGGGGAGACCCGATTAGAGGCGTGACACCAGCATCTGTGCTGGGAGGACCCGACGGGTCCCTGCTGTGAAAAATAGCCTGGGGCCAACCGGCCCAGGCGGGGAGGGAGGTGGGAGGCAGGTGGCGACAGGGCGGAAGGCTGGAGTGGGATGTAGGAAGGAGGCCACGGGCACCCGTCCACTGCCTGGCGGCTGCAACCCTCACGGAACGGGAACCCAACCATCCACCCGCCACGCAGCAGCCCGGGAGATTTCTGGCCAGCGCCGGTCGGTTCGGAGCAGCCCCAGGAGCGGCGCTTACTCACCCTCTAGCTGCGGCGGACAGTGGAAATAAAACATCGCCGACGGCCGGGTCAGCTGGACGGCGGGGCCTGGGGAGGGTGCCCGTTGGACCGACAAGGCGCGCGTAGCTCCGGCCTGGCTGCAAAACAAACAGCGATAGAGTCTAAGTCTCCCTCTGCCCGCGCCCCAGACTGGCCCTAGTGAGCACTGGGCGCCCTCCTCCCGGAAGCCACCCCCCCCCACGCCATGCCTTAAACCCACTGTGCGGACTGGAGGCGACAGGGCAACGCCGTCTCAAGCCCGGTCCCCGTGGGACAGCCCTTCGGTTCGTGTCCACCTCCCAGATAGCGAAGCCCCCACCTTGGCCCCAACACCAAACCCAGGCAATCTGGCTCCCGGCTCTCTGGGGTCCCCGCCGCAAGCCGGGCACCCAGGCCGCCGCAGCCGGGTCCAGCAAGCGCGCCAGGCCATCTGTGCGAGCGGCAGCCTGGGGCCGGGAAGGCATCGGAGCCCGAAGGCCGGGCGCGCGGGGCCGGGTGAGTGGGTCGGGAGCCGTGCGTACCTCGGCGGGCTGCGGACGAGGAAGGCCGGAGCGTGACCGCCTCCGGTCCTCACGCCGGGATCGGCTGGAAGCGGGCGGGGCTCGGCGCGGCTGGCGCCCGCAGGACCAGAAAGTGACTCGGGAAGTGGCCAGATGTCTTGCTGTCTGTCTACAGCGCGCGCCGCCGCTCAGCATTCGCCTTTATAATCTCACGCATAATTGGCCTTAATCTGATTATTTCCAGCGCTGTCTACAGCGAGTAACTTGGATAGGTCTATTGGGCCTTACAAATGGCCCACGTGGTGTAAAAAAAAAAAAAAAAATCCATCATTTCTCAGCAAACATCAGAAATGTTTTTCTTCTTTTAAAAGAGGATAGAAACAAACACTATTGCCACCACCTCAAAAAGGGCGTTATTTTTTCAACACGCCACCCACACCCACCCCCCGTCCCATCTGACTCAAACCTTCTCTCTCCGTGAAAGCTTGGATTTGGGCTCGCCCTTGTCAGAGGCCCCGCGTCTCTCGGGCTGCGAATTGACAAAGCGCTGCTAACTGTAGCCAGAGGATGGGTTTTTGGGGGGACTCTGCACACAGCTTCCCTTTCCAGGCGACCGTACAAAAGGAAAGTTTGATTTTGTTCTCAGCAAGGGGTCCCTGAATTTATGTTGTTTCTCAATGCAAATGATATGCGGTGGGACCCTTCGCAATTACTTTTAAAATGCATCCGAGGCAGACACTCATCGGAGAGAGACCGCCCTTCCCTCTGCCTGGGTGAAAATTAAACTCTAAAGTGCCGGGCTGAAATTTTCAAGTCAGGGGCGCAGGATTGGATCAAATCACATAAACTGCAAAAAAAAGCAAGTCTAATGGCGCATAATTGGTTCTGTAATAGCATTACACCAGGATAATAGCCCGTTACGGCCCCCTGCACTATTAAGTGCTTCCCTGGCGGAAAGCCTTTATGATATTAAAGGGGGAATATAATGATATTTTGGTTATTAAATGCGTGTAATTAATTTATGCACCACTGAAAATAAAGTTGGTATTATGACCCACTCAAGATGCATCAGAAGATGCAAGTCAGACAACTGTTGATAAGTTCTGGTGTCTGTGTTCCGTCTAGACTGCTGATTTTATTTTGGGACGATGGCTTCTTGGACAGACTGCATAAATTGAATATTTTATAAACATTCTAATGCTGCGTTCGGGAGCCCTGGCGAGGCGGTGGGTCGGGTCCCTGCACCGCCTGGGATCCAGCCTTGATCTTAAAGACACAGCGTGTTGGAAACAAAAGGCCTGGCGGGCCCACACGTGGACACCGCTGCCCGCGAGGCTGGTGGAGCTGAAAGGCAGAGTGCCTCGGAACTGGGCGGCCAATGGACACCCCTCCGGAAACCAGTGAGAGGAAGACGGGGCACTGCTCCAGCAGAGGCAAATTAGGGCCCAGGGCACTTCAGCTGTCCTTCCTGGGCTCAGCCAGCCCCGCGCGAGAAGTCGGCCGCAACACAGGGAAGAAACCTCTGGAAACTCTGGCTCAGTTCAAGGCGGAGAGAGCCCGCACCTCCAGTTCCACCAGGGTCACCGACTCCGCCAGTCCAGGCAGCGAGCCCCGGGGAACACGCCTGCAGGTCTAGGAGACCCGTGCGGTAGCAGGAGGGGCTGGTCGGGCAGCAGAGAGCGCCGTTTCCACTTCATCCAGAGAAAGCTGGAGCCCCAAGTGCGGACCCTGTGTCATCCCAGGCCAAGAGGCTCTGCGCACTATCTGTGTCCCTCCCTGTGTCACTCAGAGGACCCTATCCTCTGGAGCTATTTCAACGAGCCTGAGGCTACCCTGGCGTTCCCGGGTCTGCCAAATCTGCCTCAGGTTCCCAACTGCCCTAGGCGGCAGCTCCCCGCCTGCGCACCCCGTGCGCTCCAAGAGCGTGTGCTCGTCAGGCGAATCGAGGAAGGTATCCCGGAGGGCTTGGCCAAGATGCTCCAGTCGCACCTGGGTATCTGTGCGGGAACCCGCAGCACCAGGCGCCCGGGGCGCCGCATTGGCCCCCAAAGCTAACGAAGTCCAAGCCCCAGTCTCAGCTCTCCATCCCTCACATCCGCCGGAGCAGATTCCCAACAAGTCTCAGAGATGTCCCGGGAACGGGACACGCTCATCCTGGATCTGAGGGCAGCACATTCCCCGCGCCTACGGAACAGTCAGAACCCTGGACAGCGGCACCCTACCCTCCAGGGCTGCGGAGGGAAAAGAGGCGGGTCCCCAAGGCCCCTGGGGCTCTGGGCTATGCAGCAGTGGGACCCGCCCTGCCGGATCCCAGGCTTCGGGGGACTGATCCCAATCCTGTCCTGAGTCAAACCTGAGGAAGTTAACTTGGGACGCGCTCTCCGCGCTCAGAGAAGGACCGAACTCTGGGCGCCGCAGCCCCACGCGCTGCTCCTGCCCCGCGGCTCCTGCCGGGAAGGGGCCGGCCGCAAGTCGCTGCCTGACCCTAGCCTTACGAGCGTCCCCGACGCGCCCCTGGAGGGACAACTAGCCAGACTCCCGGAAAACACCCACCTCGCGCAGGACTTGTAGTCAGCTCGGGACTGTCCGCCTCGCCTCGCCCAACTTCCCTCTCCTGAGCCGCGAGACCGGCTCCTTTCTGTTGGCAAAACAGCGAATAAACAAACAGCCAAGCAAGGTAGAAACGAAAGCCTACTGCAAACTTTGATGACGCGAGCCCCCTTTTTGATTCCGATTGTCGCTGACACTCGGCCTCCAAAGGTGACTAATATGTATTCGCTACGGTCCCCCTCCCCCACCAAAAAGGGCGTTCGAAACGAAAAGGTTATTTTTCCTTAATTCTTGTGCGGTAAAATGTATTTTTCAATTAACCAAATTCACCGATCTGTCCCGCTTGGACACTCTGATAATTTACAACCTAAAAGTGTACTTTCTTTATCTAAAGACCAAGGTGACTGCTTTTAATTTTCTCTAACCTCTTTACACTTGATGTTCACCAGACTCATAATGTTAATTGGCTTCATATACGGATCATCAGTTTAATGAAGAAATAAATCCTGTGTTGCTTTATGTTTTAACAGTGATTGCTTTAATGAGGAATGTGACGTGTTCCAAAATCAAAGCTGCAGGAGACATTAGATGGGGCTTCTATTAGGACGGAAATGCTTATTTAAAGTTAAAACCATGGGTCATATTTCAACAGATTCTTACACCGCTGGCCCTCCCCACCCCCACCTGGGTTGCTTCCAGCCTCTGGAAGGAGACAATTCTGTGGTTGGTCTTCAACGCTCCTTCTTCTCCCTATTTAATTCACAACAGCCACAGAGTCTCCCTTCCTTCTGAGTCATTTTCTGGTTACTAAACAGGCAAGCTACTCCTGTCCATCAGAGCACAGAGAAGCCAGAATAGGGTGGATTGCTCAACTTTGAAGGTTGTTCACTTTTTAAAAAATAAAAGTGGGAAGAGAGTGTCACACACTCCCTAAGATGTGTGTGCAGATGTGGTTTCCGCACCCCCCTTCCCAGTGCGTCTCTATCACTGAAAATTCAAGCCTCCACTCCTAAAAGCAGACAGCTCCCCTTTAGGCCAAGTGGGCTGCTGCTGACCCACTGCCCCCTGAAAATGTCTGCAGGGGATGTGCTAGGCTCCCGCCTGGGTGAGGGAAATTTTACATCTTTACATCAATTAATAGCAGAGTAAATCTGCTTTCTCTAATGGGTGTTTGATTTTTCTAATTTTAAGCTTGTTCTGTGAAGGGAAACCTGTCATCTCAAAAACACTGAGAGCAGCAATAAAATGTTAGAAATTGGAGTATCTATACCTGAAAGCCCTAAATTGTCTTTCAGTTCAATTATGAGTTATTTTAAATTGATTCCTGAAAAGAATCCCAAATCCTTAGAAAATGCAGAGATTTGAGACTCCAGGTTATGTCTCAACCATCACACATGGTTCTCATTTCTTACCATTGTTCTGTTTGGGGAAACTGGAGAAACAGTTCAAGATGCCACTGTCAACATCTTTTGAGCTGGATACATGAACATATGTTGGATTTGACATCTCAGTTATGCTCAGAAGAGATTTTCCCCAACCTTCCTTTTAAATTTGGCTTAGCAGAAACAATCTCAGTAAACATGGTTTAAAACCATAACAATATCTCTATTTTCAGGGAGGGGGGAAGAAAACCACACTGAATTCCTAATTATGTGATTTGGAAGGGTCTGGGTGATTTGTAATGTTGTTTTATTATTAAATTTTTTTAAAGCCCCCATGGTGTAATCCCCAGTGGTCACCCAGCTCTCCCAAGGCAGAACGTGAAGCGTAAGCATGCTCAGTATGGACATCACATATTCTCTACTTGTCAGCTAATCTATTGTCATTTTGTAGTTTTGGAAATTGCCAAGAACACTTGAGTTAGCTAAACATGATAGGATATGTGGGGGGGGGGGACAGCAGCTAATTGAAATTCCAGATGAACAGGGAACTATGAACAGAAAAAATATATATACAACAAGAGATA